GAAAAAGCCCAGCAGGAACTCATTAGCATAATAGGCCACACCCAACAGCAGAAACGTATTAGCATATTAGGCCACACCCCTGACAGCACAGCTCATTGTCATTATAGGCCACACCCCCATGTTACCAGAAGTGTGGTTATCCAGCCACACCCACCTTTTGCTTCTTATTCTGTTTACCTTGTTTGTTGTCAAAACCCAGGGCTTTTTTGTAGCAAGAACTCCTTTGCATGTTAGGCCACACACCCCTAATGTAGCCAATCCTAATGAGTTCCTGCTGTTGGGTGTGGCCTATTATGCTAATGAGTTCCTACTGGGCGTGGCCAACTTGGGAGCCAGCCGGAACTCCGTTCCTGTGCGTTCCTGCCCAAAAATAGCCCTGGGTTTAAATGTCCTCTTGATGTCATATCCTGGGTGGATCAGAAGTTACACTGCCTGTATTATTGGCTGGATTGGATGAGCAATACATGACTGTTGCCCAGCTATCTATAACTGGAAATGATTTACATTGCCTTGATGAAGTATCCTTTTTAGCAAGGGATATGATTGTATTAGGCATGCCCTGGAGCTGGGCAGACACCTCCAAGGTGTGTCAAGATATTGGGTTATGTCCTTAGCATTGAAATGTTTTTTGTTCTTGAGCAAGATATACTTCTGAGCTGGTGGGGGGATTGCACTTAAATCAGTTTTTAATTCCAGCACACCCTTCATCTTCATTCTTGGAGATTTCCAATTTCATAGCTGAACCCAGGTGCTTTTATGAGACTCCCCAAGTTTCAGATCTCCCTGGCACTTAGACTCTAAAAGGGGTGCCTACTAAAACTACTAAGTCCAAGATAAAATGAGGACCCTGATATTCAAGGGGGTCTTGGCTGGAGAAGGGAGCAGGGTTCTCACCATACTTCGACCAGTGATGAAAACAAGTGCAAATCATTCCCACTAGATTTAAGGTACCTAAGTGGCATGCTATAACTGTCAATTGGGATTTATGAATACTACCGTGCTGTTCTTCTGGTTCACTGGGCCTGGGAAGCAGAGATGCTGGGCTAAGTGAATGTTTCCAAGAGCTTGCTGCGTGCCCAAAGCCATTGCTGGCTTAAAATTGATTCAAGTTGCAGCTGATAGCAAAAAAGCATCTTGAGATCAGTGTAGGTAAAACTGTAAGAGTCAATGTTTTCCCCAGGAATTGCTATATCATTTGAAGAATGGCAGAACTTGCACAGCAGAAAGTGCACAAAGACAGCCACTAGTAAGACCTAGCATACCCTGTACTCTTGGCTGTCTAGATTGGCTAACCCATTCATTTCCTTTGAAAGCATAAGGGTCTTTATGATCTTCCATCCAAACAACTTTAGCTTCAGATATTATACAAATCCATCAAGAGAGAATCATGTTAACATACACTGACAAATGTGAAAACCTGTAAATATTTATAATTGGCTGACCTACCAATATAGTTGTAAAGTTATACATGCACCTTGGACTGGTTCAGGCATTCAAATTTCTCTGCATTTAATCTGCTCTGAGTCTCCCCAGGGATGCATTTGTGTTGAGAAGGTAATGTGTGACTCATTCAAAATCCTCCAATCTGCAGCTTGCTGGCAGCAGTTTTTGTAACCACATAGTTGGTCAGCCACTTTTCAGGGGAATTGCTTAAGAGTACTGCAGCTGTACTTAGGAGGACCTAGGCCCAAACACCAATGGCAAGTTCCCCATGGCAACTTAATTTAGAAGTGCCAAAGGGGCCCAGGTCTGGTAAGGGCCATTGTGCAGCCTCTCCCCAACACTGTGGTTCCAATCAGAATTGGGCCTCTGTGGTGCTTCTAAACTGAATTGCAATGAGAGTGTTGCAGCTGCCATATGGCTGCAAGTCCCCATGGCAATCACATGTAATATGTGTCATTTGAGCCCTAAAGATTCTTTAAATAAATTTGTTCCTGTGGTCAGTCATAGCACATGTAATGCTGGGAGTTAAGTGATGGGAGCTCCCAAGCATTTTTCTTCTCAGTCAAGAAGGCATACAATATCCTGATTCAGATTGGGATGCTGGCCTGGGGGCAAAAGAGTATAACCCTTTGCCCTTGCAGCATTATTTCAAAACAAAACAGCTCTGCAGACCTGGTATGTATTGGACAAGCATACTGAATGTGTATATTTAGACCCAATGGGGCAAACAGCAGGCCTGTGAAGCTATCAGGTTGAGAAAATGGCATGGGGGGGAATCCCTCTCGTACTGTTCCACAGAAATCTGAATTCACATCAGGGATCAACATGTCTGCTATTTTAAAAGAGAAAAATACTTGAGAGAGTTCTGATTAGGAATGTGCATTTGGCATTTCGGAGCCAAATTAACTCCCAAATCATGCCTTTTTTGGCATAGTTCAGGCATTAGTTAAGCCAAATCAGAACTGAAACCCAATTTTTTTGGATCCATTATACCCTATGGGGCCACAGTCAATGGCAAATCTCCTAGGGTATATTCAGTGGGTGGGGGGAGCCTCTCCCCAAAAGAACCCCCAAGTTTCAAAAAGATTTGACCAAGGGGTCCAATTCTATGGGCACCCAAAGAGGATGCCCCCATCCTCCATTGTTTCCGGTGGTTGGATAAAAGGCCTTAGTCCTGTTGGGGTTTGGCACTGCCAGAGTGGCACTGGTTCTATTGGGCACATAGCACTGATTCTATTGCTGGCCCTGCAAATATGCCCCCTCCCCGCACCTCACTTTATACTGCAGAGAGTCTCTGGAAGAATCTGCTGGGTTTGTATGCCTGCCTTGCTTTTTTCCCCACCACTGGAAACAATGGAGTCTCTCAGATTTTATCTTAGTCCTGTTGGGTTTTGGCACTGGTTCTGCTGGGCACATTGTACTGGTTTTGCTGCTTGCAAACATGCCTCCTCCCCACACCTCACTTTCACACCCCACACCTCCTCCCCACACCTCACTTTCTACTGCAGAGATTCTCTGGGAGAATCTGCTGGGCTTGTTGTATGCCTGCCTTGCTTTTTCCCCATCATTGGAAACAATGGAGGATGCGGGCACCCTCTTTGGGTGCCCATAGAATTGGACCCCCTGAGCCAATCTTTTTGAAACTTGGGGGTTCTTTTGCAGAGAGGCTCCAGCAACTACACTGCAAATATGGTGCCTCTAACTCAAACTCCCTCCCCCTCATCCTACTGAATATACCCTAGGAGATTTGCCATTTACAATGGCCCCATAGGGTATAATGGAGCCGAAAAATTCGGGATTCCTGATCTTTACCCAAATTCCAATACAATACTGATAATGGAATTTGGGTTTTCAAGGCAATACCAAATTTTTAAG